TTGTTTAAAGGGGGATTTAATTTACAATATCAAACCATTTGTCGTTTTAAATTATAGCCTACATCCATAGTAGGTTGTTCACTATAATTCCTCAAAACAGCATTGGTTTCTAAAAAAAAAACAACGAATAATATGACTCAGTACCTGTGTTGTCAAAATCTTGTAATTGTCTTCCGTGTTGATCAGGTAAAGTAGGACGACGAGCCTACAATATTCTCCAACTGGAGAGGTGAGAGGACTACAGCTGAGTAGTTGACTTCTTCGACCAATAAAAGCCGACCGCAGAGCAGTCGGAGAGTTACGTAGCGCCTCCTACCGTGTGCACGTGGATCTTCTGTTGCATTCACAACTCCTCGTAAACAAATGTTTAGCAAGGAAATGCAATATATTGTGAGATTTGGATTTAACCTTCGGAGAGTATCCATTTATTCCGTAAACAGGGTGTAAACACATTGCAGTTGTATTTGTTGTTTCAATGGAAATGATATAATGATTTGGGGGACAATAGGTAGCGATAGGTCAGGTCACAAGTTGACACCGAAGTCACAAGATGGTCTTTGAGATCGATTAAGGTCATAGTAGACATTTGTTAAACATTTTAAAATTGCATTAAAACGTGGCTGTAATAGGGCGATGTCGTCGACTTCTCTTCAACAACTTTTTTCTTCACTTTACTTATTGTAGGCTATTTAATGACAAATGTTGAGTTATTGTTGAGTTAAACTGTTTTAGTCTTTACAAAATAAGTTAGCAATATACACTGAAGTAAGTATCAATTCAACAACCACTGTGAACTAAGATATACTTTAAATGAAACCCATAGATAGACTGTAAATATTAAGATGAACCCATAACGACATATAAAGCCGAGACGGTTTTCGCAAATCTTCGGAAGCCTTCGTCAAATCCGAGCCTTGTACACAGCCAGGGTCACATGACGCGATTAGCCCCGCAGCGGCGTGAGCTCAGCTTTCTCTAGCTTTTTTCACATGTTAGCCCGTTCATGATTGTACGATTTATTGTATTCTGCGTTGTAAAAGTAGACGCACTTCAAAACGCTGTATTTTGTTCAAGAGTAATATTTAAGCTACAGAGTAAGACGTTGCGCTTTTAAGGTTGGTTATACATTCCTCTGTGCTCGCTAGCTAAGGTTAGCACGTTAGCTAACATTTACTCAACATGAATATTGATAACGTTAATCAGTGTGTGACAACCGGAGTATCCTCTACCACATCTGCGACTGCAAGTAATTGTATCGCAAATGATAATACAACAACCATCGTCAGCAGCATCCCTTCGGTCACGAGCAATGGTACGTTTTGTGACTTTTGGTTGTTATTGTCCTTGTTGTGCTGCTCAACAAATATGTTAGGTAACTAGGATAGCATGGTTTTTCCTTCTTATAATTGATGATTTGCTTTCCTTTCACAATACATTTAGTCGTATAAGTACGTGACGCATTTTTCCTCTCCAGTGTGTAGCTGAATTGATGTGCAGCACTTTGTTTTAAACAGTGTTTGGACTTTGCACAACCTTGGTTTAGGCAGTAATGCACAACATACTGCATATGACTTATTTTAACATGTCATTATTTGTTGAACGCAGTTGATAGGTTAAAAAAAACTATTAGTTTCTAAATACAATTACTCCATATTACTGTATTTCAGCTTCAGCGTCAGCAGCGATGGTGACACCATCATCTGACACATCTGTCTCTAACGGCGTCTATGTTCCTGGTGGCATCACTAATGGAGATGTCAAGCCTGCTGTGACCACTCCCCTGGCAGATTTCCTCATGCAGCTGGAGGAGTATACTCCCACAGTGAGTACATTTCATACAGGAACGCATTGTCAGAAAGTTTGTATATTCAAATGTCCACGTTGTTAATGTTAGACGTACGTGGCAATTGTGTCTTCCTTGCCAGCCAAATTAAATGTTCACCACAACTAGATGAACTGAAATATGGTATTAAATATATGAATATGCCACCCTTCCAAATGGGTATAGTATAGCATTTTTACTTTTATGTAGTGACTTAAGAAAACTTAATTGGCATGGCACGTATGTCAGAAAGCAGCCCTGCTGGATAATTTTGCTCTTAACGTCCAGTACAGTATTTTTAAAGTAAGCAACATGGAAAAATTCCAGCCTCCCCTAATCTTGATGAAAAAGATTAAAGAACTGTTTTCCTAATACTACAAACAATACTCAAGTGTGCTTCAGTGGTTAGAGGCTGTACCACGTTCATGGTACAGTTCATGGAGCCATCACTAAATGGCAGACATACAGTAGCATTGTTCTTCACAAGCTGTGTCAGTATAACTAGAAGTCTGCTGTGTTGATCATTGACAGTGTAAAATATGCTCTATTATGATTTTTTTCTCCTTTTATTTAGATTCCTGATGCAGTTACTGGGTACTACCTCAACAGGGCTGGCTTTGAGGCTTCTGATCCAAGAATGTAAGTACTACCAAGGTTTAAGGTCATTTTACACCCCAGTGTCTCTGATGTGGCCTCGGGGATCTGATCACAAGTGGTCACTGGAGACATATTTGTAGATCCATGATCTGGCCAGGTGTAAACAGCTGTGATCAGAGCTGTCCACTCAGTTCCTCCCTTGACATATAAACTATGTTTGCATGTGCAACATTTCTTCAATCCTATTAAAACCATTCCAGTTTGGTATTCCAACTTTACTGTTTACATGGACATCGCTAAACAAAATAATGGGATTATGATGTGCGTGTACATGCATCACACATTTAATCAGAATAAAATCATTCCGACATGGGTAGAGCTGTCTAATATGTATGAAATATCAGTAAAATAGCCCACTCCTTCAGGTTAACATACATTAAAATGTTTTGCATAACTTGTGGGAAAAGGATCTCTGTTCTTACAAATGTCATGTCAGGGTTTCTGTTTATGGACCTGTGTCCATAAAAAGTGTTTCTTAGGAGTGAGATCCATTTGAATCAGAACTCAAGCCCCCCTGTGTGTTTATTTATTGTATAGTTTTTGGTCAGCCATGCAAGTTGACTCTGCTGTGGCTGCACACCTACAGATGTTGCTCCTCCACTCTCCCACTCACAACGCAACAGGATTTCTTCTCTCTTGCAAGTACTGCAAAGTCAGCAGTACATAATTATCCTGCAATCGATAAACAGGGAGGGAATGCCAGTCTACAGGAGGACCTTAAGACATGCACAGTTGAAGAGAGAGGCATACATGCGCAGTGTGAATAGTTTTACCCCAACCAGGAAGACACAATCGGATCAAGCTTGTACATATATATTGATCCAAACAATGATCGCATTCAGCATTAACCACCCCACTCAGATTGGATCAGTCCCTTCTGATTGACATGTTTACATGAAACATTTTTATTCTGATTATTTGTGTCCATGTAAACATAGTTATTGATAATACCAGGTCTAAACTGTTTCTTAACCTCAAGCCTCAGTATGAGTGGGTCTCTCTTATCCCCTGTGGAACCTTGTGACAGAAATCACAGTTACAGTGATATGTATTGAAATAAACTATACATCTATCACTGCGACAGTTCCTGAACTGATTACTTGGAAATGCTAAGTGGAAATTGTTTTTTTCTCCTGTTTCTCTAGAATCCGTCTGATCTCCCTTGCTTCCCAGAAGTTTATCTCAGACATAGCTAATGATGCACTGCAGTACTGTAAAATGAAGGGCACTGCGTCAGGAAGCTCCAGGAGTAAGACAAAGGTCAGTCTTTTTCTCTTTTTGTGGGAAGAATACATGGATTACAATGATATGTGTGTTTTAAAGTGGTGTGTATATATAGGAAGCTGTGACAGAGGAAGTGGTCAATTGTCTTTAAATGCTGTAATCACGCTGTCCCTGATAATTTAACAGTTCCTTATTTTGACTTCTTTCCTGTGTATAGGATAAGAAGTACACTCTGACTATGGAAGACCTGGCTCCTGCCCTCACAGAATATGGTGTCAACGTCAAGAAACCATATTACTTTACATAAAACTGTATTTCTTTCTTTTTCTTTCTTTTTGCTTTTGCTAGAATTATCATACTGCTGACCTGCTAGTCTGTGGACACCTATACTGCTTGATTTTTTTTTATCATGAGGCTTTAGTACACGTTTGACAAATCTTTGTAGTGAATAGGCCATTTGTTATTTTTTGTGGTGTCATCTTTGCATTGTGTTAAATTGTAAAGTTAAGTTTTATTGTGAAAATAAACCCTTACAAAAAATAAACATGTCTTTGAGAAATTCAATTGGATTCGGTGTTTGCCAGAATCCTGTATGTAAGTGGAAGGTAAATGGACTTGAGCTTATAAAGCACTTTTCTTCTCACTACTCAAAGCGCTCTTACACCGCAGATCACACCCTGATGGTAGTGATCACTATGTAGTATCATCCATCAAAAGTAACTAATCCCATTCATACACCATCACTGAAGCAGAGGGAGCAATTCAGGGTTAAGTGTCTTGTCCAAGGACACATCAGACATGTTGTCCAGCTGGGGATCAAACCCTCAACCTTCTGGTTGAGAGGCAATGACTCTACCAACTGAGCCACAGCCGCCCAGGTGAAGGTTATAAACCCAGGCACTTTTTGTCTTACATATTGCTGACAACAAACCTTGGAACAAAAACAATTACTGTCTAAGAGTAAAACGTTACTCCTTCCAAAAACTCTTAGTTAGCGTTGACTATTGAGAGGATATCTGGAGAGCTAGTTTTAAGTTAAACCTCTGGTATTTGCTATTAAAATAACATACTGAAAGGCTTTACTACACATTTTATATATAGTTTTTTTAATTGGCTGGCCTTTGCAGGAGTCAGAGCCTTTCATTAAAAATATTATCTTTACTTTTATGTTCAGCAATCAACTGCAAGTAAATGTGTTGGTTTGTAGTTAAGCCAATATTAATCGTTGCCACCAGAGGGCGCCCTGAAAATGAATTATCCAAGCTTTTACAATCGCGCTTTATCACAGTTTTTGTCCCAAACTGCGAGCCGTAACATGTGTCTCCTGAGCCACCGTACATCCTATCGGCACATTATGCTCGACGTTCAAATTTTCACGTTATCTTTCACTACACGTTTTTATTTAGACTTGATTTAGAAAGTCAAGCTTCAAAATGTCTATTCAAGCCACAAATCCCAATAATCCCATTGTGTTCTTCGACATTACCATCGGGGGGCAGGTGAGTGAAGTATTACGTTTAAAACAGCCGACGTTAAATTTACGTTTATGCTATCCCATCTTGCCATAATGTGATGTATTGGATAAAGGTTTTGACACAGTTAACAACGTCCGGGATATTTCTAAGCGTCAATTAAAACATTGTATTTATAATTTGCCTAACAATATGCAGATCCGAGCGTGTCGTAGTCGTCCTCGTATTGTGCAACATTAAGCGGTAAAATGGTGATGCATCACTTTATACCTTTATGGACTGTGCTGTGAAGCAGGGACACATCAGGTAAATCCTGTCTACTTTCCTGGATGTTGTTTGTAGGCAAGAATCAGTGCCTGGTTGAAACTATTGTAACTGCCTTAAGCCTTAAGAAAAAGCTAAATAGCCATGAATACCTACTAACTTAATGATGATGGTCTCCATATTATTGATTATGATGATGGTAATGACGATGGTTTTTGTTTGATAACGATGACTTATAAGATGGTTTCTATACTGATTAGAGCTCTCAAGAACTGCCCTCAATGTTGTGCTTTGCCTCTGGTCACTTCCTGTCAGCACCTGTGTGTCCAATCAGACTCAAAGCTGATCATTTGCTCTTACTCACATTGTTCCCTTTTTTCTAGATCCTTGCTTGTGTTGTACTTACTCTCTGATGTACGTCGCTTTGGATAAAAGCGTCTGCTAAGTGAATTGTAGAAATTGTAGAATTAATCCTTAATTGATATAGTTACATGCCATTAATACAATGGCATGTAACTAATTTCTAGTTTTTGGTAGCGTCATTATTTTTGGTCCATGTAACACATATTGTAAGGTATCAAATCGTAAGTAACCCTGTGATTCTTCCCCTTATCCAAAGTACCAACCCTGCCACAAATAAAAATAAGTCACTTATGAAAGTAAAGGCTATGAAGCGTTTTGGGATTCATACTTTTATATATTAGTGCCAGAAAATAATCCACTCCGGAGAGTGGGCACTTAAACTCACTGGTAGCATACAGCATTTCCCAGATACCCTCAAAATCTATCTCTTTAAATTCTATTAGGCTTGTCTGTTAAAATCAAAGGAGCAATATGTAAGATATCTACTGATTAAATCATAAATTACCTTACTATATCATCAGACATTAAGGAAATTATTCATGACAAAAATAAATGATCGGAATCAGTAGTAGTATCTGTATGTATCTATCTCCGATTAGAACTGAAAAAAGTGGAATGGTGCCTCTAGTTGATAGGCAAACCCTATACAGCTGTTTTGGACATTAATCTGTTTTTTAGGCAAACAGTAAACAAACAGGTGTTGCAGTGATGGAAGTGGGCAGGTGAACTGGTTCAGATATAACTGATTCTACCCGACCTAAAAAGCCTTCTTGATTCTAATACGCGCCATGCCCAGAAACCTACAATGTTTAGAATTTAGACTGCTGTACCGATTTTAAACACTACGTGTCAGAGTTACATACTGCTCCTCTCCTTTAAAGTGAAGTCAGGATCAGGTCTTATGACTTCGTCAATCACCATTCCATTTCTGTCAACACCACACCCTTTGTGCTGAGCAAGGTGCAGGATCTGTATTTGTCTAAGGAAGAAACAAAATATAGCAGATAGCCTGCAATGTTAATCAAATAAGTTTCATATTATTACACAGTTTAATTGCAGTAGGGACAGTACACGAGACCATTACACGATCAATGCTTTAATCCTGTATTTAACATTTTTAGTGACATTTTCTATTGTTCAGTAAGTAAGGTATCATGATATTTCATTAAATGATAGTCTTTCAAAGTGTGAATTATTGTAGAATAGTTAGTAGGATTTTGTAATTGGTGGTATCATTTAGAGCCAGACCGGTTTGGGGTTTGTGATGTACGCGCACCCCTGCTTTACATTCTGGAGAGTGAAAATGCTTGTTTTAATCCATACAGTACACTCTGCTGGTGACAGCCAGAAAGAGAACGGCTAGTGATATACAATGATACTCAAATTAAATGCTATTTGACTGGTGACTAAGTCTAGGAAATTCGGTGCATATCTGCGGTAAAATGAGCTGATAGTACCGATAGTCACTGGAGATGCTTATGTCGGCTGGCCAATGAATCGGTTGGGCTCTAGTATCATTATCCTGGGTCTTTCTCGCTCTGTGACAGTCTTCTTCTTGTGTGTTAAACAAGAGAGGAAGAAACAGATTATCAGACCTTTGCTGTTGAAAGGATTTTGATGGAGCTGTTCAGATCTCTATACATTTGGAGCTGTATGTCAATTACACATAAATAATTGAGGAAATAACTGTACATTTATTTAGATTTTTACAGAATAAAAAAAAAGCTCCTATATGTGCTGATTAAGCGGGGTCATTATTTTGTCCAATTTGCATAACAACTCAAGTCAGCATGTATCCCTTGATACACAAAAGTGAACAATACAAATTTGGTTTGAGTCTTTATTCACATATATTACACATACTATACATATACATATTAAACACAGAGGAGAGTTTTTTTCTTCTTTTTTAATGGGATGATCACAGCCATGGAGTTTGGCTGCCATTGTTGTCCTTTGCTCAGATGCCAGAAAACATTCCATGAGCACACGTTTTCCGGTAGTTGGCTGTATGGACCTTGCATCTTACTTTTTGCCCAAAACACCAAACCTAGAAGTAAACTGTTGGCACACTCCAACCATAGAATGTTGACACTGAGGTAGCCAGGTATCTCCATGCCAAAGCACATACAGGCTACAGAGACAGCCAGATAAGGCAACCAAAACAAACCAAATCCCAGTGTTAGACTGAACCACAGAGGGGGGCGTGGCCAGTTAGTGTCCTCCAGGTAATTCTTCTCACAGTTTTTTTCCTCAATGCAATTAGTTAAGGTGAACAGATCGCTCCTCTTCTTTTCTTCTTCTTCCCTCGCTTCAGATATCCTGTCAGCCTCTTTCACCCAGCGGGGAATCATCGAGCAAAAGGGTAGCATCATACAAATGACTGCCATGAAAAGCCCTGACACAAAGTATTTAATCACTGTAGACATATCTACTTTACACACTAATACAACTTTCGCATTGTCTAGTTCTACCCGCTCACTTTGGACATGACCAAATGTGTAAGTAATGGCCAGAATCCACACTAGTAATGTCAAGATCGCATTCCCCACGAGTTTGCAAAAAGGTCTTTGATTGCAGGGAGATGCATCTTGTAAACAGTAGTCCAGAAATCCAAGGAACATCATGGGTAACGGTAGTGCTCCATATGCAGCTGATGCATTAGCCAAGACGAAGCATGGTGACACAAGTGATTTTTCAGTGCCAAGAATCCACACTGTTGCCATAAAAATCACCAGTAGCAAGTCGAACAGTACGAGAGACAGGCTGCACATGTTTAAAAATAATGTATAGAGCTTCTGGCAGCACAAGTAAAACACTAATGCATCCAGTACCAGCTTCAAAATCATGAGTAACAGATACATGGCAGTTTTGTCAATGTGACAGCCAGTATCCATGTCCCATTGCTCCATGACGGCAAGCATTGGACTGGTTTTTCAATGGTCCTGGCAACTCAGCGGCAGTATATATATATATATATATATAATGTGTTTGTACCAGTTGTCAGCTCAGTGTCAAGATGCTCCTGGGTATTCTGGAAAAGATAAGAAGGAATTATTAACGCTTTGCTGAGTGTGATAAGTAAAAACACGCGAAAGCATGTAAATAAGTAAACGTCCTTTGTCTGGCCTAAATGAAGTGAGAAATGGTTGATTAGATACAATGGTTTGACACTCAAAGGATAGTTAAGCAATACTTGGTTGCCACCAAGACATACACAGGGTTAATTGTTAAGCGGCAGTGGTAACAGTAAACAGTATCAGTGCCTCAGACTCATTGAATAAAATGCAGCAATTGTTTACACTGAAAACGTTGCTTTTGCCCAACAGTAAAACTAAATGTATTAATGTATTATTAGTCAATTGATCCTAAATAAGAAACCTTTTTTGTTTTTTGCTGGTTACCCCAGCCAAGCAGCCACTTCATTTTTTTTTTCTAATTTAAAGTGCATTTTCTACTCCTAATTGTGTTTATATTGTAATGTTGAAGCAACAGAATTACCCATGGGATTAAAAAATATCTTATCAATCATGTTGAAAGTTATTGAATAGATATTATAGGTATATTTTTTTACCTGGCAAAGTAATTGATTGCAGTTGTGAAACACATTTGGCTCTTCTCTGCACACGTATGATCCTCATGTCAACATCTTATCAGAGTATTCCAGCAGCACACAGGCCAACTAGAATTTCCAGCTTTTCTGAACTGCATTTCTGAGACTTGCAGTGTTAACAAAAGCTAACACTGGTTCTGCCATTTGACGCATATAGCATTTTACTAAACCAACAAAGTATAAAATGGTGTAACTCAAAAAAAGTCTGTACCTCTCCCAGTGCCAGTCCAGTGGGTTTTGAGTTGAGATCCAGGCGCTTATTTCCTGCAGTAATGTAAGCTACAAACCCTGCACGCTTTCATCAGGACTAGTGTGTGATCAGGTAGTTCTCTTTTTTTAAACTGGTCTTGATGGCTCCACCTCTCCATTGTAAATGCAAACAACTAATGGGACACACCTGATTATTTAAATAGGGAGGCCTGTTTTGCCTCTCACATGCCCCTGAGGTGACTGCCACTTATTTCAGTTTGCATGTCCTGTAACAGGTAACCCAAAGGGAGGGTCGCTCCTTCTCACACTAGTTTCTAGTAAAGACCACACCCTGCTGTCTGTGACTGGTTTTGTTCACCTGCAACCTGTCCCTATACAACTACACTAGAATCCCAAGAAACAGCTTCAGGGGTTGAACACTGCAGGCTACAGTTCCATCAAGTTCTTTCTTAGTTGGATTTCATTTTTTAACCATACAAACAATTGAACTATCTTGAACTAACTATCTTTTATGAAAGGACATTCCCTGCATTTGAAATGCTTTTGAAAATGAGGGGAATCCCCTGGCTTCAAACATTGAAAGTTAACACTTGGATTATAACTGAACAGTCATTACGACGTCTTTCTCATAAATGTATGACTTAAGTGTCATAACATTACGACTTTGTTCATGTAACTGAATGACTTTAAACACATTATTTTAATTCTGTATATTGGCAACGTTAATCTTCCGATACTACAGCTTTCTTCTTTGCCGGTTTAATTTTCTTAAATATTACGACTTTATCTTTGCAAATTTATTCTTGTAATATTGCGATTTCAATCTCTGACGCCCGAATACTCCGTTGAACAGTTAGATTATGATCATGCTATTAACAAGTCACCTATTAATTGAATAGGTATTGTTAAAAAATGAAATTTTGTATTAATCAGAACTAAACCACACAAATGCACCTCTGTGGGCTCTAATACTCGGCTGATTATTGCATTCAGTTAATACAGGGACTTCTACTGTACTTACTTTTTGCTATATATATTAACTTTCTTGTACCTCTAGGGAGAGGTGTGCTGGATTGTCCTCATAGTGTTCCTACACTTTGTACTCTTGCACACTTCCATTCAGTCAAACGCTGTGGCTTGTACTGATATTAGTTCAGTAAGAGTGACATGTTTTCCTCACTTTTCCTGAGTTAGTTTCTCTGTTTTGAGGAATCCACAAAGATCTCCCTTTATTACCTGAGTTTCAGCATCACAGCTAAAGGGATTTAATACAGGATACATTATTACCAATGTAGGCACCACGACCCCCTAAAGGAACTACAGTACTTTTTTTAAATGTGAAAAGTTCTTACCTGTTGTGAGAAACCAGACAGAGAAACACCTCAGCTGATTAACTGCTCTGAAGTTCATGTTAGTTCCAAACATTGTTTTATTCCCACAAAGCAAACAGAGAGATCCATTGGCTGTGTTTTTGCTGCGAGCCGTCTGCGGAGATGGAAGGGAGAGTTGTGCGATGATGTCATGTGGTCAAACTACTCTTTTTACACAAGCACATTGTTTGTTTTCACAGACACACACACACAGAAACACACACACAATTGTTGTCAGTCAGCTACTTGCAAGCCCCTCTGGGTTGTGGGAGGACTGGGTGATCAAACACCCACACTGCTGAACAAATACGCACACACAAACCTTGAACAGGATTTAATGTCTTGTAATGGGCTGCATCAAGAGTGCAGCATTTTCCCATTTAGTACTATCTATTATGTATGCTTTGACTGCTGGTAAATGCTTCTAAATCCCTTGTATTGTGGAGATGAAATTGAGTCAGATCATTGTTTTCAGGGAAGTCAACAGAGAGCTGAGAGATGTAACAGGATTAAGCTAATGTGTCATTGTATCCAAGGCAAAGGAGAAATCTTACATCAGATGGAATGTAACTGGTTATTCCAGATAAGGCCTTCAGTGTCAAAAGAGATGCTTCCACAAACAAGTGTGGCCCGTCTATTTTCATTCTGTTAGGTTTGCCTGGGGCTGACCGCCAATCTTTTTAGAGGTACATGTTTCTGTCTTCATTTCGGTATCTGTTTTTTTTTTTTGTGTATTGGACTTTTAACACAAAGTTGTCTCGTCTGTTTTGTCAGGATGTCGGTCGGATGAAGATTGAACTGTTTGCCGATGTGGTTCCGAAGACCGCTGAGAATTTCAGGCAAGATTAAAGCCTGCTCAGATTATTCAATCACAGGGTCAATTGAAAAATAAAATCAGAGGAAAGACGCAACAGATATATTTGTTAACACACATTAGACTGGTAGTGAGTTTTCAGAGATGTAACTTCTAATTTCGTCCTCTCTTACAGGCAGTTCTGCACTGGAGAGTTCAGGTAAGACTGCATGGGAAACAAACAATCCCCAACTGTCAAGCACACATCGTCTTAACATGCTTTTAAGAAATCTTATTAGCCACATCTATCGACAGAAACTGCATTATTTAAACATCATAATGAGAAACCTGCTTCCCTTGTATAACGTAAAGAGGTTAAGAGAAACCTGACAAACACAAAGGATTATTTTTAACAGGTCCCTGAAAGGTGTTTACATACTGTGCAGGTGCATGACAAAGAGTCAGGACAGGAGAAGTAGTTTTGTGGCTGCAGTCTATCTAAACCTGAACCAAGTAAAAACTATTTGTCTGATGAGTGGCCTCCTTCTCTAATATCTATTTTTGTTGGGCTAATTTGGTGAAAGTCAAAGGCAGCTATTTCGCCACAGTGCTTTCTTTGAGTTATTAAACATCTACTCTGTTGCTGCCAGCTTTTCTGAGTCACTGAGGTTGATAGATGCTCTGCATGGTTTTTAAGCACTGAAAGTATATGAGAGCTTTTTAACAGGACCATAAGCTCTTCATGCAACACTGTTTCTTCCATGCCAGGGCCAAGGAAGTGTATTGATGCACTGATCGGAGCACTCACACTAGTACTTTGAGGGTGAAGCATGTTTAGGCACGGCACAGATTGCTGGATAGTGTGAGTGCGCCCTTAGTGACTCCATAAGCAAAGGTGATAGTCTCTCCATACTCAGTAATAGTCAAAACAAAGATCCTCGCTTCAGCTACAACTGGAAAGTGTCATTTATACTGTAATTGAACAACTGCCAGCCAAAGACAAACACTGGCTGATCACATGATTTAGATTCAATACAATATGTTTGTCTGTCAGCTTCATGTCGTTCTCTGCTACACTTCTGTCTTACAGGAAGGATGGAGTCCCCATTGGTTTCAAAGGTTGCACATTCCACAGGTAAAAACCATGGCAGCTTGATTTGTTCGCTCACATTATACCTGAATGTTGAACTTTTTTTTTTAGTTACTGTTTTCATAAGTAAGTAAAACTCAAACCCACTGCTGCCTTTCATATCTTTGTTCTTCTTCATTTTTATAGTTCCTGTAATGAAATAGCAAAGAACTTAAGATAGAAATATACATTTTTCACTTGGGGCGGTTAGTAGAGTTGTTGTCTCTCAACCAGAAGGTCGAGGGTTCGATCCCCAGCTCCTGCCGCAACATGTCCTTGGGCAAGCAGCTCCCGCTGCTTCGGTGTAAAAGCGCTTTGAGTAGTCAGAAGACTAGAGAAGCGCTTTACATGCTCAAGTCCATTTACTATTACGCTCTTAGAAGTTTTATGGATTTTAAAATGTAACCCATGTAGATTATTGTGGGTTTTTTAACAATGGTGAAAAAGGAAGTAGTCATCATGATAATATTCTCTATCGGTGTGATTTACAGTACCAAAGAAAATCTGCCAGCACTGACATGTTTTTATTATTCATTGGCAGGGTGATCAAAGACTTCATGATACAAGGAGGGGACTTTGTAAATGTGAGTATATATTCACACATTTCGGCTGTGTGGAACTTTTCTGTTTCTCAACAGAGGAAGCCACAATTGCTTTCTCTGAGTGGATAATAAAAGGAATTAAAGGAGTGGAGTGGAGTGGAAACCATCAAAACAATCTGTGATAGGATTACTGTTGTGATTAGAGTGGAACAGTTCTGGATAGATCTGGGTGTGAAAGTATAGGATGATTTTTTTTAAACCTGAAAATAACAAATATATATGAGATATTGGTCGAGGAACAGGTACATTGTGTCAGAAAGTACCTAAAAAGCTCCACAATGTCTTACATTTATTTGCATAATGTCTCTTGCCATGACAAACTGCAGTGAAATTTGTAATTATCTAAGAGCAATACTTCTCTCTTTCGCCCCCTGGTGGCCACATGGTGACTTACAGCATATGTACAGGTATATTATCTGAATATAGAGCTTTCTCTTTCTTCTTTGTGAGCACTCTCACATTCTGTTTTCTGTCCTATGTATGAAGGGTGATGGAACAGGTATCTGCAGCATCTACAGAGGTCCATTTGCAGATGAGAACTTCAAACAGAAGCATTCAATGCCTGGTCTTCTTTCCATGGTAAATATGTGCAATTGATCAATGCCTAATTGTTAGGGCCACTGTTTAATCAGGAACTGGTCTGTTAACTTACATGTTGGCTTTTCCTACAATCATTGAATATATCCTGCAAAGTCCTCCTTAAATACAAAGATGTAATCAATCCTCTCAGTCTAAGTGTACTTGACCCCAGCCTTCATAGACAGTAGGATTTGATCGTCTCAAGAAAAAAAACAACCTGAACATGACAAATACATTTTAAAAGCTGAAATTCTCCCTCAATGATGTGTGTATTATACAGGCAAACAGTGGTCCAGGCACAAATGGTTGTCAGTTTTTCATTACGTGCGCTAAATGTGACTGGCTGGATGGGAAGCATGTTGTCTTTGGTGAGTTAGTCTTATTAGATCATATTTCTTTTCATGTGTATTCTAATTTCTTGATTGTGACTAAAATTGTCTTCTTCATAACTATTTCAGGAAAAGTGGTAGATGGCTTGCTGACCATGAGAAAAATTGAGGTAAAAACTCTTATTTTTTTTAGTAATTTATATTTACCGTATGTATTTTTTTTTTTAAGGGCTGGAATTCTATCCTGGGGCATCTTGTGCAGGAACAACTCATTAAAGATATGTTGGACTGAACTGTTAAATGAACAAAATACTGAGTAAAAGGAGAGGTTCCATTCCTTGTTCTGGCTGAAAAGTTCCACTGCCTCCAAAGTAGTTTTCTCACCTTTTAAAATCAAAAGTTGAATAGAGCCATGATAAAACAGTAATTTATTAATAAGTATTTGTACTGGTAGATAGTTTGCAAAAGTCCCTGAGGATGCAGTGAATGTTTACATTATTTTTGAATGATGAGCTTTTTTATCGTAACTTTTTGCTTCTCCCAACAGAACGTTCCTACAGGACCCAACAATAAGCCCAAGCTCCCCATCCTTATTTCTCAATGTGGCGAGATGTGATCCAGCATTTCCCCTACAATCCCTGAACTACACAACTTTTATACATGAAGTACTGTCATTTGATAGTCCTCAGCAAACATTTACCCTTTTTTATTATATTGATGCTTCTTTGCTCTCAAAGACATTCTTAAATAAAGAGACAATACAATTCAGCAGTTCATGATTTTGGACATTTTTTTGACTTGGTCACATCTGATTCCAGGTTACCTACTGTGTCCAAACCAAAATACTTTTTTCAAGCAGGCTTTGGTTACCAATATGATGAAACTGTGGGGTTTGAGATTTGCTTTTTGAATTGTAATATTCAACACAGTTGCTTATATTTTCCAGAGTGTATAATAAGACATTTTTGTGTCAACCACATTGTGTTATCAGTTGTGACCAATTTTTTTTCAAAAATTCTGGACATCATGTTCTTTCCCATCTGCATCCTACCACATTCTACTTAAGAGTGTATGAGGATTGATAGGTTATTTTTTTAGGGTTATTGTCGGTATTCAATATTGTAGTGCTCTCTTATCCCAAATACTTTGACTACATACAGATGTAATTAGTTTAGACAAAATGCTCAAAGACGTAACCAGGGAAATAAATATGATGTAGGGCAGACTGCATTTATTTCAGTAATAACACTGGTCAGTATGGGAACATGTAAGTGAAAAAAATCTGAAATTATTTTCAGTCTTTTTTACAGACTTTGTATTTATATTATTTAAGATACTTAAAGTATATTTTAGAAGCCAGATAAAATCATTATTTAATCTACTTTGAATTTAACTTCGTTGAATATTGTAAGAACATTATGTACGCAATACATTATAAAGTGTTTTGGTAGTATCCAATTCATCCCCCCCCCCATGTATGTGTATGACCTAGAAAAAAAAGAATGTAATCAAAAGAATCTTAGGCTTTAAAGGGGAGAATTAATCGTGAGGAATTTCGCCGAGATGTATAGTTTGGTTCTGATTTGATAGTAGGAAATAATCGATGTGAAACCAATCACCATGAAGCTGAGGATGGAAACATTTTTACAAAGAAAGGCACGAGAGTCCTCCAAGGCACATACTCCCGTGCCAAGCAATCCTCTGCTGAACTTATGGCTACCTCTTCTTATCCCAGCCATCCATTCAAATCCAAGCCACCAGACCCCCTCCCCCATCCAAGCTCTCCCTCTTCTGCCTTGGATACCGTTCCCATAAAAGAATCCTTTCAGATGGAGACTCTGTTCTTATGGAGGCAGGAAGAAGGTTGTGTTTTTTTTTTTTAAAAGAGGGGGTATGGGGGTTCTTCAGGGTTGAGGGGGGCGCTTTCTGGGGTCAATGCTAAAGCCCATCTTTGTGTGGGAGAACTAGGCTCGGCAATTAACAGCGAGCTCTCACACATGAGCCAGCGCTCATAACAGTGCCAGTGGAGCATTACCATGACAATGGGTGGGGTGGGGGCTGTCTCACACTCAGTCTGGGTCTCTCTGTTCTGTACTGGAAGTGGAGTTTCTGGATACAATCAGGATAATGAAGGCATTTAACCACTTTATTGTGCAGCGCATGATGAGATAAGAATCAAATTGTGTGACAGTATAGACATGGGAGTAATTATTATTATTTGAGCTCTATTAATTCAAATATTTCTCGTGAATAATATTAAAGATCAATTTGCTGAAAAGGACAGACAATTTCAACGATTTCCCTGTAATTTTCCAAATAGTGCATGTGAGGACACAATCAAATCACTTGCTTTTCGTTTAGCCTACATATGGTTATTGTTCATCGTGGGTGTAATGTGTCCTGAAATGACATTGATTCAAAACGGTCTGGGCAGAAAAGGGACTTATCTCTAACAATGTAATGTCATTTTTTAAATATAGGCTAATAGTTCGGCTACTTTTTGATTTGAAATAGGCTATTAACGCATTTTTTTCGGTTAAAATGTTACGGTGGCCTATAAAGCAGTCCATTGGCTGTATAGACTGCGGAGAACTTAATGTTCTAAATCGTTCTGCAATGGGCTCCCATCCCAAATCTTCCTTAGTATCATGTTTGATTGAGAGGTACAATGCCAGTGCAAACGTGAAAATGCTGTAGAACAATTGAAAATAACATGAACATCACGTTCTATGGTTTATATACTGACTGACTGATCAAGTTATCCCCTTTTTTAGATGGTTTTTTTTCGCAATACATTTCCCAACTGGGTATGGGGCAACAGATTCAATATTTCATATTTTAACATAACCAAAGGAAACAGTCTAATGAGTATGTCGATCAATCTCAGACAAGCATACAATTACCAAAATAACAATTAATACAGCTGACGGCGTCAGAGACAAAACTGATAACAGTTACAGGGTTGTTTCAATTTACGAGGCCAACAGAGGACATTTTTTACAAAACATAGCCTAGGCTTATACATCTAATGTTCAATGTCCAAAAATGTTATGAAATGATTGTTTTTTTTATAATTTGTAAAAAATCAATTTTAAGACTAAACAACCAAGCAGACACTCTGTTCCCAAAGTGTCACGGTTATCTGTCTCTCTTGTCTGGTTTTGACATCACTCCGGGGCGGCGATAGTGAACAGGTATATTCTACTTTAGCCAATCATGTTTTAGCAAACCTTGTCCTCAAACTAGATTGACAACCCAATCAGCGAATGGGATTGCGTTTACAAATTCCAACCAATTCGAAGAGCAGTTGGGCGGACCCCGACCAGGAACATTCCCCGGCACAGTTTTTCATTCTGCCCAGTTCGATCGGCAACGGGAGCGGAAAGAGGAAAGCAGAGAGCCCCAAGGCAGTAGCCCCCACCACCGCCGGCCCAGGTTACCATCTAGCACCGGGAAACATAGCAGAGAGCCGCCGCCGGCAGAAGCCATTACCAACTAGTAGTAACCATGAGCAGCGAGGCCGAGACACAACAACCGCCGCAGCCTGCTGCCGATGAGGAGAGACCATCGAGCCCGGCAGCCGCAGCTTCCGCGGGGGATAAGAAGGTCATCGGTAAGACTAATAGAAACGAGCTAGTTAGCTAAGTTAGCTAACGTGCTTTTGGCACAGCAAAGCCCATGCGAAAAAGCGACGGCTGCTAACGTTAACGAGCCGATCACTGGTTCAAGTAAAGTTACACAATGTTAACTATCAGATAATACTGTAGCTGACACTGCGTTTCAAAATGTGGAGAAATCAGTAAATAACCGTCAAGTCCGTTCTCGGTTCCCTCTTGGTACGTATAACACTGAGTAGACTCAGGTTAGAAAATTGCATGAAAATCAAAAAACGATTTAATGAAATTGTATCTTAAGATGGAAAAACACGTGCAAAAGTGTCAGTTGGAAGATTGGTCGTATTATCAAAACTAGCTTAATATTTCTGTTATTTTATGGGGAATCTGTTAATGTCACCGGTAAATTATTAATGTTTCTCCATCAGACGACAAATCAGTAATATACTGTTGGTGTGATCCGAGCAGTTTGTCTGTCCGGTTAATCGACATTTTAACGTCTATAACCGTCACAGAATGCTGTGTTACCGGCTGGCCGTTGAAGTGTGTATCAGACCGTTGGTAACAAACTGTTCATTAAACGTTCTGTGGTCGGGCGGTTGAAGTTAGAACGTGAACGGCTGCTGTTATTCCGTGAAGATTAAACATTAAAACACATCGTAGACTGTTTTACTGCTAACGCTACAACTGTCGTCGTTAGCTGCTAACCTCCCCTTTGTTCACACAAGCCACTCTGGTTGCGCGTTACGGCGTCTTCTCCCAGAATAATTATAATAAAAGCACATCATTTTGGTAATCATAGTTTTCAAACCCGGTGAGGGGAAAGTGGGTTCCTGATGTAAGAACACATTACTGGTAACGTTTGTCGAATTTAGCTACTAACTGTGGGCTAGCATTTTGGCCTAAGCACAGGGGTGGTAACGTTAGCTCCTTGGCTAACCAGGCTACACGAGCCTAGCCGGCAAGCGTTTATTTGCCTGGCAGCAGGAGACACTCAAAATGTCCGCCGACTTGATTCCATTGAGCTTTTCGCCCTGTATCTAATTTGTGAATAAAGTAGTTATCAGCAACGATAGGTTTACTATTTTCCATAGTGTTTTTCACAATGGATGTAAACTTGCGTGTCATGGCTGTGTTTCAGTTTCTGGCTTTAATCGAACCGCATGGACCCAGCTAACGACTTAGCTACTATGCTTGAAACAACCTCGGCACGCTGGTCGCTAACGCACCCGGCCGCGATTCTACCACGTGTAAACGCCAGAGTCCTGAAACGTGCGGCTAAAATGGGGCAGTGGGTCTGTAGTTGTTGAACTTTGAAATAATGACAATTGTTATGTCGCAATATTAGTAATACTGATGTCCTATTTCTAACGACTATAGCTTCATGAGATTAAGGCACGGATAAGAATTTATAAGAATTCCACGAGCGCATGAGAAACAGCGTAGTCATTATTGGGTCATAGTACTTTCTTATCATGTCGCACTTTAGTGCAGCTGGCATTGGGCTCCCCAACTACCATGATCTATAAAAAGGGCAACAGTAGTGATTTAAAAATAACCTTCATATTATTATGTTTCCTTGGTTGTTTTTAATCATCTGTCGTAATATTATAACATGGATACGATAGGCATATGCTTTCAGTAATACTTAGTACATTATATAATTGAGATCTTGAAGGGGGAAATACTGTAAAAAAAAATATTAAACTTGGTTGATGATTTTGCCTGTATTGTTTCTGATTGCAGCAACAAAAGTCTTGGGTACAGTCAAATGGTTCAACGTCAGGAATGGATATGGTTTCATCAATAGGTAAGTGGATCCCACCTTATCACTTATCTACAAAGCCCCTGATAACAGCTGTGTCCGAAGGAACTGCTCCAATCCTATTATGGCTTTTTGCTTACCAGCTGACAAGACAATTTAAATGCGGCTCCATATGTTGTTAATACATCCAGTGCTACAATAATCCTTACTGGTTTAGTTACATGTCTATGGATACAATGTAGCACTCTGTTGCTCAAAAATATATTAATGTGTAACCTAACTTTTTTTGTTCCATTTCAAGGAATGATACAAAAGAGGACGTTTTTGTACACCAGGTAAGTTGTAAGAAATGTTTTTTTTTTTTTTGTGTAAATTGTCCTTACACATAAATC